CGTATATTAGTCATTCATATTATGCATTTAAAAAAATGGTGATATTTGAATTCCACGACGACAATAATTTTGGTGTTAAATCATCGATCATTCGTATTGTTTGTTTTTCTTTTGTTTTCTTATAGAGTACTTTTATTTCTCTTTTATTTTTTAAATTTGTAATAATTTTGTTTTTATAGTATATTTTTCTCTGCCTCTCTAGTAGTCTTTTTTTTTTTAATTTTTGGTACGTTTTCAGTTTTCTTTATGTCGTTGTTCATCCTTTTTTGTTTAATTTCAAAGTTGAATTTAATGGCACCTCAACTAATTAAAATGACATTTATTTGTTATTTCGTTAATATTTATTGTTTTAAACTCTTGGATTGGATTTGAATACACGATTTGCGTTAGAGATAGTTTTATCACGACGTTTAACTCTAATTTATAATTATTGATGTTCTTTCAATGATTTGACCTCTTATTGTGATTTATTTACCGATGCAGTCATATAAGTTCGTATTTATATTTTGTTCAGGTTTTTGGATGGATTTTTAACCATTTTCATGCATGATCCTTATATTATCTCAACTGATTAATTTTTTATGTTAATTGGTGTTATAGAAATACATGGTAATTATTCATTATAGTTTTGAATATTTCTTCTTTTTTTAATAAACTAACGATTTTTTTTGCATAAAAATGTTAATATTTTATATTAAATTAAACTATTTTATTAATACGATTAATTACTAGTAATGTTCATAATTTTTTTAGTATATTGATAATATTTACACCTATAAACGTAAACTCAAATGTTTATAAAAATAACAAACATTCTCTCTATCATTAAGATTAATTAATGAATTCTAAATTAGATTAAACCTAATATATACCTAATTAATACTAATATAAAAATAGTACGGCAAAGGCATATGAAACCCTAGACTATACTCTGCGTTGAGGTTACGTGGATCCAAGAATTGATTTGACATTACTGATTCGTGTGTCGAAAATCTTGTTTCTTTTTCCTCTAGGCCAATCTGAAGTACTAATGGGACAATTGTGACAAGCAATAAACTCTTATATCACCTTTACTCCCCATTAATCATAATGTGATCTTTGCGCGCCTTATTATTAGGGCACTTCCTAATAATAATATATTTTCGTTTAAAGTATATAATATAAAAAAATATTTGATTCACTTAATTATATTACTATTTTTATTTCAATTTCCTATGCTATATAAACTTCTACAATGATACTTTATAAAAAAATTATCAATTAAAACATTAATAAATATATATTTATGAAGTGATTTTATTATATAACTTTTGAAGACTAAGAGATCCACAATGATTGTTTTCATGTATAAATTGCTGCTATCTTAATAATTTATTCAGAAACATAAAGACAATATATCTATATGCACATTTATATTTTTTAACTATTTTCTCAATCAATCCCTTTGATCCATCCTTTGATTCACTAATAAATATATTATAAAATTTAGATTTGATCCAAACAAAAATAAATAATTCCACTTAAATAACTATCAGCTCGAATTCCAATTGTCGGAAAAGAAATTTATAGGAAGTCATTTCTCTTAAATTTCTTTTTTATTCTTTTCTTTATATTAGAAAAATAGGAAAATAATATCCATTTTGTTATTTGTGAGTTAAATGGAAACAAGTTCCAAAGCCAACAATTAAACACAGAATGGCTTATGTTTTTTAAATTAAAAAAAGACTTAGCTTTATATTTTTGTTATTTTCTTTACATTTTTCTTAAAAATATTAAATAATACAAATTAATTATTAAATAATAAGAGGCCCATACTTCTATAAAAATATTAAATAAAAAAATTTATATAAAAAGAATTCTAAAAATTCAATCAAATAATTTAAAAAAATAAAAGATTTGAACAAGCACTATTATTGACGGTGAAGTATAATCATCATCAACACTAACATAAAATGAATATTACGATGACTGCACATTAACATATGACTTTATCACAAATCAGGTACAACCTATCTGAGATGTTTACAAGGACGTATCAAAGTGATAGAGCGAACTCAATGGTCCAAATCAAAGATAGGTCAACAAAATAATTAAATTAATGTAAATTGAAATAAGCGATGCCAAATTTAGTCCTAAAAAAGAACAAGATGTATTGAAAGAGTATAGAAATATGCTACAGGAGCATAAAAATATATAGCATTTTCGTTAGAAAAGAAAAATATTTATTAAATAAAATAATAAATTTAGAATATACAGAAATAAAATTAAAGATATGAAAGAGAAATATGTAAAAGAAGATTGGTAAAATATAAATGATTCTCATCAATGGTAAAAGGAAATATTATTATTTTTAGAAGTAATGAGTTTGAATAGTTGTGTTTGTAAGATTTATATGTGTTGTCCATTAATTAATTTTTTTATATATAAATATTACATTGTAATCACACTAAATTATTTATATATAAAAAAACTACTGATATTATTTTAAAAAAATGAATGAGAAAGAAGTACCCTTAAGATACATATCATTTATATATGAATGTATGTCATAGGTTATATATAGTAATATGGTTCGTTGACTAAGGTATAATATATCATAATAATTAATAAATTGTTATGAATTACAAAGGTCTCAAAAATTAATGAAAATAGAATTTTTTTAGCACATGAATCAAACGATTTTAGTGGTTAAAAGAATAATTATTATTATTAGAAATTTCGTGTTCAAGCACCAACGACAGTCATGATATTTGAACATTCATTGTCAATTAATTGAAGTATTTAAAATAAATACTACAACTTTTAGTTTTAAATAAAATAAGACAAAATAGTTTTAGTCATGATTATTACACCCCTAATTTCCTAGAAATAAACCTATTTAAAAGCAATTGGTTAGGCTTTCATTTTCAGGGGCTACTAAACAATAGCTTATTGCAAGTACCTAAAAACATATTTAATAGAGTAATATATTTAACCTTAATCAACTAGTTATATTAAATAAGAGTCAATCTTTAGTTTATTAGTCATATTAAATGGCTTAAAATGGGTGACTAAATTATTCATAAAAATTATTCAAATAGGGGCTCTTGGCTCCTTAACTTTTGTCCTCGTACTGAAATTGAAATTAAAATATGTAACGTATAACATTCGGTTTTTTAAGAAAATATATGTCTAAAAAGGAACATAACCGATGTTTCCCTTTAAGGAGGAACAAATTAACTATACAATAGACTATATACATTCAAACTGTAGCTCTTCATAAAATAAGTAATTCATTCATGTATACCTGATATTATAATCCAACGTTAAGCAAAAACAAAGGGGCGGTGACGGCTAAAAGGAGGGGGAGAAAGGGCTATCCAGGATGGTGGCGGAGACGACAAGAGTAGGACCCACGCGCCGCTGCTACTTCGCCTACTTGCCCCTCCGTTTCTCCCATTGTTTTTCCATTTGTCGGTTTCTTTGTTTACAAACCAAACTTGGTCAAATTGTGGTGAAGGTAACCATGGTTAACTCCACACTCCAATGAGCTATGACTAATGTTAACATCTAATCAGCTAACATCTCAATCTAATTCTATCCTTTTATAGTCTATTTTTGTATAGGAGTATAAAATTTGATTTGAATTAAAAAAATAATTCAATATTCAATTCGATATTAATAAAATTAATTTGATTTATAATTTTATAAACTCAACTTGATTAAAAAAAATTCAGATAAAAATTGAGTTAAAAAGTAATTTTATATATGTTTAATACTTAAATTAATACTTTTGTTCTGTTAGCAGTGCCCAAACTCTATTTTTTTTTTTAAAAAAGGTACCTTGTATTGATTAATAACAAAGTACATCACCCTAATGTCCTCATTAAAAAACCTCCCTAAACCTATCGGGGGAAAAGAGTGTACCTTGAGGTGATACGAGAATACAGTCAAAAGGGCCATAACGCTATGACCCAAAACACATACCGCATCTAATTCCTATAACCTGAACCATAACAGAAAACCAACAACCACACTACAACATGTAATCAAGTAAATACATACACATATAAAGTAACAAAACAAAAGGTTGCAGTAACCTGCTTAAACTCTATTTTATTCCAAATTATACATAATGTTTAATTTATGTTTTATTTAGGTATCCCATTTATAAAAAACTTAATAGTATTATTGTCGTGTCACTATAAGATAATATCACATCGTTATTAAAAAATAAAAATAGCATATCACCATTTCTGTTAATTTTTTAATGACAGTACACCAAATTGAATCTTAAACTACGTTATGTATAATTTTGATAAAAATATAAAATTTGGGTATCAAAGCAAAACACAATAAATAGATTAAGTACTAAACGTATAATTTAACCTTAAATTTAAAAAGAAATTAGAATAACTTGACTTAACTTGTCTTCATTAAAAAAATTTAAATTAGAAATAAAATTAATCAACTCGACTAACTTAAATCTATTTAACTTAACTCCATTAAAAGATTTAAATAAAATTCATCAACTTTATTGACTTAAAAGTTTATTTATCTCGACTGGATTTATTCAAATAATCATCCTAACATCCAGGGTTCATTTACTCTCGGTATTTTTTTTCACTTTTATTATATCACACAACACAACACTTTTTTTTAACCATCCATATTTGATCAACACAAACCCTTTAACCGCGTGAAGTCCACCTGCCATCCGTTCCCAAGACCAAAATCTATCTTGTTCATTTTTGTCCTCTGAATGTATAAAATAATACTCCATAGCTTCAGTGTTTGATGATCCACGCTCGACAAAAGGAGTGTAGGGCTGGCATCCACCAATTTGAGATGTCAAAAAATAGAGGAAAAACTAATAAAAGATTTTCTCAACTAATTCATAGTACATGGAGTATTTATTAGAAATAATAAGAAAAAGATTGTGTTTTTATAAACTTTGCTTTTGTCCCCTCTTCTTCTTCCTTTCTTCTTCTGCTTCTCCCCTTTCCTTTGCCTGCACTCCTTCCTTTTAAAAAAAATATGCAAAACCCTTTCTTTTCTTAGTTATACAAATCATTTTCTTCCATCAAGTCTCCCATATCGCTTGCCCTACCCCTTCTTTATATTTTTTTCTTCCCTTAAACAAATCCCATCTTAGACAGTTTTTAATCTAAATTAATCCATAAATTATATACTATTAACCCCCTTTTTAAATACTAATTTTTATTTTAATCCTTTGTTTTTCTTTGTTTTGTGTTGTGTTGTTCTTTTTGATGCTGGCATGGCCGGTCTTAATTTAGGAACTGCTTCTCGCTATGTTCATCAGCTTCACAGACCCGACCTTCATCTCCAGTACCTACCCGAACCTCAAGATCATGAAGCTTCTAAAAACCGTGTTGGTGTTGGTGGTGGTGCTCAGTATGGCTCGGCCGATCATCACCAAGATGATGAATCGACTCACCAAGGCCTGGACTTGGTCAACGCCGCCAACTCGGGTCCAGGTGGTGACCTTGTTGCTCGTAGGCCAAGGGGTCGTCCTCCAGGTTCCAAGAACAAGCCGAAGCCTCCGGTTATCATAACAAGGGAGAGTGCCAACACGCTCCGAGCTCACATTCTTGAGATTGGGAACGGCTGCGATGTGTTCGACTGTATTGCCAGCTACGCCCGTAGAAGGCAAAGGGGTATCTGTATATTGAGTGGCAGTGGTACGGTGACCAACGTGACCATCAGGCAACCATCGGCAGCTGGAGCTGTAGTTACCCTCCATGGCAGATTTGAAATTTTATCACTTTCGGGTTCTTTTCTGCCTCCGCCAGCTCCGCCAGGCGCCACCAGTTTGACAATCTTCTTGGCCGGCGGGCAAGGCCAGGTTGTTGGAGGGAGTGTAGTCGGTGAACTGATGGCGGCGGGACCTGTTATTGTTATAGCTTCGTCGTTTGCAAATGTGGCCTACGAGAGACTGCCTTTGGAAGAGGATGACCAGCTGCAGATGCAAAGCGGCGGCGGAAATAACATGTTTGCCGATGCAGGAGCTGCCCCAGGTGGGTTGCCTTTCTTGAATTTACCCCTCAATATGCCCCCTAATGTCCAGTTACCTGTTGAAGGATGGCCTGGAAACTCAGGTGGTAATAGGCCTCCGTTTTGAGGGCTTTTCAATGGAAAATTCAAGCTCTATTTGCAGCAATGGTGAAAATGAGGAGCCTTGGACCATTAAGGTCAGCAAATTTCATGGACTAGTTATCATCATCATCACCTTCGTCCTACACTTGCTCTTAAGTTGATGTTGATTTTAGGTTTTCTTTTCTTAATCTTTGTTTTAGTTTTTTTCCTGGTTTCTTATGGGATTTTTGGAATCTATGATTTCTGGAAATAGTCCTTTCTTGTTCATGGTTTGATATGATGTATTAACTTGTGTCGGATAATATGATCAGTCACTGAATTTTCAGTGTTACTAGGAGATCAATTAGGGTTTCCCCTTCATCTTTTAAAAATTTGCATCACATATCAAATCTTTCATTTTAAGTACTTGAAACTTTTAAAACAAGGGTTGGAAAGTAAATCTTATAAGAGTTGATAACATGGGATTTGGTTTTGCAGTGTTTTCAGGTCAGGAGAGAATATAATAACTAGGAAACCAGTGGTTTCATAACTGATTCTTCTTCTTGTTTCCTGCTATAAACCACCATGGATTTCTGCATTCACATCGTAATTCAAAGCCTACTTTCTTCTTCTTCTTGATTTTCAGCACCCTTCTATTTCACTGTTACGTCACATTCTTCTCTCCCAAATCTGTTGAACTAAACCAAAACATAAGTAAATCTTCATGATTACTATGGAGTCCCTTTCTTGATATACCTTTAAACACATCTACTTAAACTCGATTTTTTTTAAGAAGAATAATGTTTCCCTTTTTAACAACTCAGACACTCAATAAGTTGTGCAAAATATATATCTTAAAGCTGCTATCTTTATACTCAAATATTATATTTTGTTGTTGGTTAAGGGATCACTACAGTGGGTCAATGGCTTAAACAGTACTCTTACTTTGATAAATCTAAAGTTTTGTTTATTAGCAAAAATATCGGGTTTAGTAACATAATCGAATCTCCATTTCATAATGATAATCAACACCAGATTTAACAAATTTTATATATTATATATATGAAAATTATGTTGAGATAAATGGTTTTGTTTATTCATGTTGATGCGGATTCCTTACTTGCTTACGATAATCAATGCCTTCAGCTCACTGAGAAATAACAATTGAATAATGATGTTCATCACTTGGTTTTCTATAAGTTGAGTATTCTTCCATCAGTAGTGGGATATATTTAAAAATTAAATGTTGTGAATGAATGAATTTATTCCATAAAACCTAGCTATATAGATTCTTTTGGTGAAAGGGAAATGCTTGGCTTGCCCCCAATTCCCAAGTTTAAGTATTCTCATTGTGCTTTGTTTTAGGGAGGTCATTTATATTTTAATATCCAGTGTTGTTTCGATCCCATAAAAATCGTATGGTTATACCTTGTATAATGTAATATTTGTTTAAAGATTCTCAAGCGTTTGATATTGAATGCTTATACTCTTGTATATGTGATGCTCAAACTTGAAATCTCAAAGAATAATAATAATTCTTTAACCAATGAAATCGTTTTATTCGTGCTATTAAAAGTAATTTTATATCAACTAAAGAATGTTTTTATATAAGTAATTTTGAAAACAAGTGAAAATGAATATTCATAGCTACAAAATTAAGTAAAATAGAAAAAAAAAACAATAGATGAGTAGAATTAAGAAATGGAAAGATTAAACGAAATGTAATACACTATTTATAAAGCATATTACTTAATTGCTTAGGAATCTTACCCATTAAAACTTTTCACCTATTAACGTATCTGTAAAACACTAAATAAACTTAACAATCAAGTAAGCTTTAGCAAGTAAAATTATAATATAATCTCAACTAAATATTATAAACTAGAATTTGAGTTAATTTCTAACTCACAACTACTCTATAAAACAAATTACAATAAATAAAATAATCATTTTATAAACTAAAAGAAAAATCATATAAAATATAACAGGAGTTAAAAACAAAATGTAAAACTTTTAATTGATATGATGCCCAAACTACTCCAATCTCTCAAATTCCTACATCGAAGGTTTAATACTTAATTATACTCGAATTCATGTTCTTCTAAATGTTGTAATAATGACTATGATAATAAATAAAATGTAAAATCTGTCTTTTCTCATTAATTTGAATAATGTATTTATAAGATAAATGAATGAGGATAAATGAAAAAATAGAGATAAATAATTTATTTTTATATAAAATGAATGATTTAACTTCTTCTAATTGTCTTATATTTAAAAATTAATTGAATAAAAAATTGAAATTATAATATAAATTTCTAATAAAAATTTAAAATTTCTGAGATTATGTTTCGTTTGGATCGGTTTGTTAACATTTATGTCTTGGAGTTTTTCTTTTTTGGATAATTTAGGTTGATTATAAGATAATATATGTTTAAAATCTTTCTTAGTCATTAATAATGCATATATATCCTAACGTAACTATTCGAATTTAAAAATTCAAAAGAGAACAATACTTTTTTCGACTATTGATATCACTCGATGTGATTCACATATTGTAGAGTTAAAACTATGATCAGAACATGAAAAAAAATAGTTACATGTTTCTCATTTTTATTGACGGTCCAAAGTTTCCACCTTCTATTTGGGCTGGTCGATAAATAATTAGGTTCATAATGATCCAAAGTTTGAGCTGAATAAATTATGTGAATCCAATTACAGTTCATTTAACTTTTTTATTATTTATATATTTTTAACTCCTTTTATTTTATTTCTACTTCTTTCAAGTATAATGTCATCTAACATCTTTTATTTTATTTTTATTTCTTTAATCATAGTATCATTTAAATTTTCTATTTATTAAATAATCTAATTAGATCTAATATTTAATTTTAAATAAAATATTAAACATATTATAATTTAAATTCAACACTTAATCTTTCAGTATTTAGTTTTCAACACTTAAATTTTTAGTTTATCAAACTATTCAATTTATATTTTAATAAATTAGTGTAGAATTAAAATAGTTCTACATATTTTTGTAAGTATTCATTTAATATTTTAATAAATTTATCATTTTATTTATTAATAAAATTTTACTTTTCAAACACAAAAGTTTGACATCGATCCAATATTTTGTATCATGTTGGAAAGAAACTAATTTTTCTTTTTGGAGGGGCCGAAGTTGAATGAGAAACTTTTGAAGAGCTAAAATTTATTATTATTATTTTTAATTTAAAAATTACAAATTTTAAAATAAATATATAAATTTATTATCTTAGAAGCTTAAATATAATTTATATTATATCAATGTAAAATTATATAAAATCTAAGGGTGTAAAAATAAAATTTACCATTAAAGGGGAGCCAAGTGTCGGGAACAATTTTGTAGCCATGAGATTACCCTGACAATAATCCGATAACGAACCAAGTAGTTATGATAGTGAGTCGAGGAAAACTTGAAGAATCGCGATGGAAGGCATGTCAAGCTAATGACCTCATTTCAGACATTTTAACATGTACTGATGTTATAGTTGGTAAGTTTCTTTAACTCTTTAAGGGGAAGTGATTTGGTGTTGGGTTTTAACCATCTCCCTCACCCTAAGTTAACATGTGGAGCTACCATAGTGTAAACAATTTTCTCTTAGGTTCATGAGGAGCCTAGGTGTGCGTATATTAAGACCAAGGGGATGATATAATGTCTATTTAGGAGAAATTACTCTTGTTAAGTATGTCTTGGCTTTACTATGAGTTAATATGAGGCACGTATCATTATGAGCACAAATTGTCTATGCGGATGATGTATTGAATTCAGGGCAAAAGATTAGAGGTAATTGTTTCAATAAGTATTCTTTAACTTCTTATTGATTGTAGGAAAAATACCATGAAGCGCGGTGGTACTTGTGACGTGGACATCACAAAATTGTGTGGGAAAGAAGATCAAGGCATAAAAAATGGCTTAGAGGGACAACTCATGGGAACGAGGCAAAGGCGTTTTCATGACGAGGTCGTCATTAGATCAAGTGAGAGAAAATACGGAACTACAGAATGTGGAGTCGTATGGTAAATTATGTTCATGACGAGACCGTCATGAGATTGAGTGGGGGAGAATACGAAGCTGAATAATGCAGTCCTATAGAAGAATTGTTTCAACAAGTTAATCCACATGACTTGGTGTTAATAAATGAGAATCGTAGAAGAGGACTAACCCAAAAATACTTTGGTATCTTGGTATGATGTATTTAGACTCATAATATATTTGTTGGGTTAACCAATGTGTTTGACTAGTTGTGTTTAGTAATGAAACAAATATTTCATGACTATCGTACAAAAATGTGAACAAGAGTAAAAGTGGGAGAGCCTTTAGTTTTTATTGGCGATGCTACAAGTGTGCAATATTTGGCCAGGTATATCAAGTTTAGACATTGTGTCTCTCAAGGGCCGAGAAGACTTGAGTTGGGACATGTCTAACATACCTAAGTGCTCATATATTTAGAGTTATCATGGTATCATTGGGGGTGATTAGCTCAGACCTTGTCATTTATGACACATAAAAAATGACTAAAATAATCATATTTTAAACTCAGATAAATAATATTACAAGAAAATTTTATATTTAATAGTACATTATTAAATAAAATAATTAAAAATTATTATTTAGATTTCTACCCAAATTAAAAATTTGTGTACAAATGTTTTACACTCCATCCAAGAGTAAGTATCATTGGAAATAATTAATTTTTAAAATTTATCAAATACTAATTAAATTATCATACAATATAATGTTTTTGAATAAGTTTAGTTAAACTAAAAAAATCAGCGTGCGATATAGTTTTGGTATATCTATTTCTTAAAAGAAAAAAAATATTATCATTCACAATGGATTTAATGCAAAATTAAATTTAATGGATGAAATAAACTCTTAAGAAACAACAACAAATACATAATAAAATAAGAGAAAGTTGTATGATTAGGACAATAATGCCATCAACCCCACCAGCTCAACTCAACTCAACTCAACTCAACTCATAGGTAAATTATAAAGAGTGAAGCCATATACTTGGTAAATTTGACCGATTGAATGTGCCAAACTTGGCCGATTCTAAAAATATAAAGAAACTTTATGCCTAGAATTTTTTTTTAAATAAAGATTGAGTTATTAAATAAGATTTGTCGATTTGAATAATTTGAAATTTTTTAATTTGACTTAATCGAATACTCACCCTATATATAACTATAATTTTTTTAGATTAACTAGAGTAAATAATATCGTTGTTAATTTCCAGCTCTCTTCTCCATTCTAATTATCTTGAGAATAAAAGTCAAGAATCTCCTCCACATTAAGCTGAAACAGTGAGGAACAGTCATTATTCATCAACCAAAGCATGTGCTCAAACAAGATAGCATCCACATCCACAAATATCACCCTCCTTTTACCATCACTTACTTCACCTCCATTATCTTTCTTCATTGTCTCCATCAATACCCTAAACGGGCTCTCCTCCAGCACAAATGACTCAACCAAAAACTCCCTCCTCTCTTTGCCTACCACCACCATCACTCGTCGGTCCAAATCACTGTATGCGTCATCCTCCGCTAGAGGCCGATATCCCATGCAACGCCGTCGCAGTAACGAGGCCGGTAAAACCAAGCAACCCATTATCAAGCAATTGATAACTTGAAATTCTCAAGATAAAGTGTATATAGCAAAATATGAGATGTTAATGACTCAATATGATGTGTTATGACTAGATGAATGAACCATTTATAGAAGCGTGAAAGTGTGGTAGAAGTGTTTGGCAAGTTCCGGTTGAATAGGCCAAGCAACGACTAGAGAGAGGGGAAAAAGAGGGAATATTTATAAGCAAAGCAAAGAGGATAAAGTAGATTAAATTACTATGCATAGTATTGGTTTTTTAGGTATTAAATTTGAATAACACCGAAAATTGGGATATGACCCGTCATTTTGAGAAAATGTCGCACTCAATTACCGGTCCTTGGATTTGAAGTTGGATTAATGTGGAAATTACTTATTTCTCAAAATTATGAATTCTAAATATTGAAATAATTAAATTAATTAAGAGATTTTAGTGGTAAAAAGAAATATTTTTTCCTTAAAGAATTCAGGTTGAGTAACTGTATTTATAGAATGCATGTACGTTGTAAAAATATTAAGAAAGCTTTGAATAAATACTAAAATGTAAGTGTACTTATCAATTCTATAAACTTTGTTAGGTTTTAATTTGCTAGAGGAACTCATCAAGTGATCTTAGTGGTAAAAGAGACTATTGTTTTTTTTAGAGGTACTGAGTTCGAGTAAATACGTCTGTAGAGTGGGTGTCTTGTTAGTTGTTTAAAAAAAATCTGAACAAATACTATCTTATAATTACTATTAGACTATTAAAAACATATCGATTGGCGTAGAAGGTTGAAAACTGAAAATCATATAAAAAAATGCCCAGTGCGTTAGGACTTTGGAGCCGACCAAACCAACTAGACTAGGTGGCTGGAGACCGAACTCGTGTACTGTGTTTTGGATGTGGCAATGGCTGGTAGCTGCAATAATGATATATGTCGGTTAACTTCCACATTAATTCTCCATGTTGATTTTGACGAATAAGCTCAACGTCTAAAACCCAATCCTTATACTCCATGCTTTGATTATTGGGGAGGATTCCACAATATTTTAATCATATAATCGCAACTTTGGACATTTTCACAAGTTTTTCCTTTGAACTCTAAATGTGTCTTCTGGTGCTATTAGAATCCGGGTTTACCTCTAGCGAACGCAAGCCAAGAGTATTTAGGTCATATATCAAGTACAAGAATGTCTTTTTTTTTTAATTGTACGAGGTGAAAAATCTTTTTGGCCTCTCGACAATAATGCACACATACCTTATAGAAATAGTTGTTCGAATTCAAAAATTGTAAGAAAATAATACATTTTTATTATTGAGATCCTTCAATAAGTTCAATACGAAGGAGAATTTTACTCCTGATAGGTTATTAGGTATTGAACCCAAAACCTAAGAGAGACAAAAGTATCAACTGAGAACTTTTAACCATCCGTTCTAGAGATTGTTGATCAATACAAACATAATTAAATGCATAAAGGCTTAAGAATAATATATGTATGGTACCATTGTGCATATAATGGCACAAGGATTTTATTCTAAATACCGGTAGCCTATACAAGAAACTGAAACAAAAGGCTGGCTGCATCCTTTAGGTGGAATGGAGGCTTATTCACCTTACCTTCAATACACGAAAGAATCAATTTCTACTTGGTTAAAAGTGGGTAGCCGAGTAAATATTGTAGTCGACACTCAGGTTGTCGATACAATATAACAGAGAGGCTCAATGATTCTAGCACCTGACCTCGTATGAGCCGGCCTTGGTAATATATCGAACCCACTCAACCGTGCTATACCCACTCTTTTCCCATACCTTCGAAATAAAGTATGAGTTCAACGTAAACGAACCGCACATACATTCAGAATACGTAAGAATGCTTTACCTTAAGAAACCGGACTCGTAAACGGGGAGGCTGTAAACATTGGCACCTGAAATTCCATCTGAATTGGTGGCTTTGTCCAACACTTCTTTTCTGTCATCGTGGAAATCAACTTCTGCACTCAAGATCGGCTCTGTTTGTCCAGGGACTTTTCTTATCCTAAAAAGTGACGTTGAACCATAACCAAATTTAATCCAAAGATAAATCATATATGCACATGGTAACAGACCAAAACATTTATTTCCAAACCAAGCAATCAATACCAGCATTGTACTATGCTCGACCTGATGTCACTTGGAAACTCGTCTTAGCTGTCTGTTTCGGCACAGGAAATTTCACGATAACTCCAAGAGCAAACATTTTTGCTCCGAAGACACTTAACCTGAAATTTTCAAAGAAATATGGTGACAGCATAATCATGAGCTGGATCCAATTTCAAAATGATTGATTAGTATTACAAACCTTAACATTTACTTCCATCCGTGTTCGACCAAGTTCCTTGATTGTAGGCAATACCCGGAAAGGAGGATTAACTCCCTCCATGATTCGGTACCTATAAGGATGAGCGTAAGATTTTATGTTAGGAGAACGAATTTATAAAATTTGAAGGGTGAGTGAACTTATAAAAGTTTAGAATATGAGAACATGTTTTTTTTATTATAGAAAATATAAAAAAATATATATCTAAAATATATGAGAATTTAAAATTTTAAAGGATGTAGACCCCACCCGCTCTCCTCGATCCTTCCATGAGTACCTATGAATTCATCAATTCAAAACAATAATATATTGTATAATCATTGGGAACTCAGATAGTTCATCACCATATAGCATTAATGTTATGATTGGTAGGGACTACTATTCTTCCTAGGATAGAGTCTACTAGCAGCCCCTGCAATACACCAAAAATCTCCATTTTTTTCCCTCTATTATGTAAAGGGACATTTTAGTCCCTATACATTTGATAAAGTGAATATTTTACTCTAAAATGTTAAATCTATACTTAGTTGAACTAAAATACTAGGTTTAAACACCTCTTAAGCCCCTATCAATTTATAAATGGAGCAAATTGAACCTTCTCCAAAAAAGTTAATTTAGTGTCTATGGTTTTTTTAAATATAATATTTAAAGTTCCACGATATAAATTTTTGTAAAGAAGACAAAAAGATTATATGAATTTTTGAATATTATATAAAAAAATCTATTTATAAATTGATAGGGACCTAAGGGATGTTTAAACTCAATATTTTTGATTAACTAACAATAGATTATTTTCACTTGGTAATTCTTAGCCATTCACATAACTTAAACAAAGAGAACGAATATTTATGAGTTATATTGAATATGAATTATTTTTTACTCATCTTTCTAACTTCAAACTTAAATTCGTAAAAATTCTTTTAATCTATGACAAACTATTTTAAAACTCGTGTACTAATTTTTTTTCTTCTATTGTAACCAAACGTAGGACAAGTGTTAAACATTTGTTTTCACTATATATCTCCAGATATCTAAGGTAAGGAAACATTTATATATATATATATATATATATATATATAAGTTGCACACTGTATAACAAAACTACAACTGAAGTTGCATACCATATACCGCAAGTAAATAAGGGAGAAGACTTCTTGATCTTACTTCATTAATTCAAATTCACCGTCTGGTGGCACAAAACTAACAGTCTTTTCTGAGTTGAATCTTGTAAGATTTACACACTAATGGAAATTAACATCGTCCAGCTCAATAGTCTCGCCACTGAGACAACATCATTTGTAAGAGAGAGAAAAAGCAGAACTTAATAACTAAAAAACCAAGAGAAATTATTTCATGAACCCTCTTCTCCCTGTCTTCCATGGCTCCATCCAGTAAAAATCGCACACCTTACATTTCCCCCCCTCCATGTCACTTTTTTTAATAATGAAATTTCACTTTTTGCCCATGTATATATGGAAATGGGTGATTACTTGAAAGTTAATTATGAGTGGATTAATGGCATGAAAGAAAAAGAGTGAACCGAGTGGTTTTTACTTATTGAGATCATATACGTCACGTAATCCGATATGTAATCTTTCAGAAACTCAAGTCACTTGAAATGATAAAAAATGAACAGAACCCCCCCCCCCCCCCCCGAGGATTGTATTGTATATTAACAAAGTAAGGAAGCATAGGATGAAACATAGAAGCCACCTTTTAGTAGGGTGGGATTTCATTTGTTATTCTTTCTCAAGTCCAATCTTATCATTCAAGCCCAATTTCAGATCAGGCATTCCAGAGAGGATGCACTTCATAAGGATCTTTCCAGTAACATCACAACGCAGAACACTGCCTGGAATCACCAAATGTTTAATTTTCATCCATACACAAACCAACAAACAAAACCACTATTACGTAATAGTAAGTTTATACTTTCCACAATGTCTAGAAATACCTGCAGCTAATAGATGTTAAACCATAGGAACCAAAACGATATTGAAAGACCTCAGAAGCACGATTACCTCATTCTTCTTATAAACAAGTCCCTCTCTTCTTCAGCCAACAGCACCTGTAACTTGTAATGTTGCCTTTGGAATAGGCTTATCTGCCTATTAAATTGTTACACATAGAAAATCAAAATGGTACGAGTACGAGTATTGCTTACATACATCAAACCTCAACAAAAAATATACATCATACCTTGGATGAGAAGGGGGACCGCACCCCTTCTTGAGTCATGTAAAGCTTTAAAATTTCGGGAGAGAGATTTTGTGGGTGGCCGAAGTCCATGATTTTTGCAACAAAAAAATTACAGAAATGAAACATTTTATCATTCAAATAACATTTGAACTCAAAGTTAATTATATTTTTGTTAAAAGTTTCAAAGTTTGGCAACCAACTTTGGAAAATGTTTTTTCAAAGTTTGGTAAATGTTTCTTTGAAAAATGTTTTTCAAAGTTTGGTAAAATTTTGGTAGATGTTTGTTGAAAATAGGAATGGGTAAATTCACTTTAGTCATTGCACTTTAGGGTATTTTCAAAGATTAGTCCCTAAGTTTCTACTATAAATACCCTTACCCATTTAGCTTCAAAATCATCCCAAAACATTTCTTTCTTCCTATACTAGAGAGCTTTCTTGTGAGTAGTGAGTGTTTTGTAAACACCTGTAAATTTTCTCTCTTAGTAAAAAGATCTGCAGCAGCCCGGAGACGTAAGCACAATTGGCTGAACTCCGTTATCAATTTTCGGGTATTATTTTTCCGCTTTTATTTCGCATTCTCACTAATCTGGTTATAGGGAAATTACTTGTACTCGGTTTATTTTCCTAACAACTGGTATCAGAGCTTTTGGTTGTGAATTTTGTCAAATTTTCTGCGAGGTTACTATTCATTACTATTCACGTGAATAGTGAATTTCGTGAATAGTGAAATTCGGTCGGCGATACGAGTTTGTCGACGGTGGTGTTCTAATACACGGTGATTCGCAAGAATTGTCAGAAACGATCCAAACGAAGCCAGATTCGAGTGGGAGCGATGGCTGCAGACGAAGGGAAGGTGAAAATTGAAAAGTTCGATGGTGCGGACTTTGGCTTTTGGAAGATGCAGATTGAAGATTTTTTGTACCAGAAAAATCTATATCAACCTCTCTCAGGAAAGCAACCAGAGGGCATGAAGGATGAAAATTGGGCTCTTCTCGACAGACAAGCCCTCGGAGTTATCCGACTGACGTTATCCCGCAATGTTGCTTTTAACATAGCAAAGGAAAAGACCACGGCGGGTCTTATGGCGGCTCTCTCCAGTATGTACGAGAAGCCATCGGCCTCAAACAAAGTTCATTTGATGAGGCGATTATTCAATTTGCGGATGGCGGAAGGGGCATCGGTGGCACAACACCTAAATGAACTCAACACAATTACAACCCAGTTGAGTTCAGTGGAAATTGAGTTCGATGATGAAGTTCGAGCTTTAATTCTCTTATCATCTCTACCAGACAGTTGGAATGCTACTGTTACAGCAGTCAGCAGTTCGTCGGGAAACAGCAAATTAAAATTCGACGATGTTCGGGATCTGGTATTGAGTGAAGAAATTCGACGAAGAGAATCGGGTGAAGCATCAACCTCCTCAGCCTTACACACGGAGTCTAGAGGGAGAACTTCAGAAAGAAATTCAAATCGTGGCAGATCAAAATCTAGAAGGGGCAAATCAAGAACAGGAAATAAAGATTTTACCTGTTATAATTGCGGCAAAAAGGGTCACTTCAAAAGAGATTGCCGAGCACCGAAGAAAAATACCGGCACACAGGAATCTGCCAACATGACGGAGGAGACAGGTGATGCCATGATTTTAAGCGTCAACAGTCCGATTGAATCATGGATCTTGGATTCAGGGGCATCTTTCCACACCACCCCATGCCGAGAAATCATGGAGAACTATGTCAGTGGTGATTTTGGAAAGGTTCATCTTGCTGATGATGAAACCTTAAAGATCGTCGGAAAAGGAGACATCCGACTAAAGTTGCCAAACCAGACCACCTGGAAGCTGACAGGAGTGAGACATATTCCTGGCCTCAAAAGAAATCTGATTTCTGTTGGACAGCTTGATGGAGAAGGATATAGCACAACCTTTTCAGGCTGTGAATGGAAGATTACCAAAGGAGCACTCGTCATTGCTCGTGGTAAGAAGACTGGTACTCTCTATGTAACCTCAAATTTAGAGAATATCATTGCAGTAGCAGATGCTGATGGAAAATCAAACCTATGGCACCAAAGGCTTGGCCATATGAGCGAGAAAGGGATGAAGACACTTTTGTCAAAAGGGAAGCTGTCGGATCTAAAAAATGTAGATGTCGGACTATGCGAGGATTGCATCTTTGGCAAACAAAAGAAAGTCAGTTTTGCAAAGATTGGCAAGACACCCAAGGCAGAAAGGTTAGAATTGGTTCATACTGATGTATGGGGACCATCCCCAGTTCCATCTCTTGCAGGCTCACTATATTATGTCACCTTCATCGATGATTCAACAAGGAAGGTGTGGGTTTATTTTCTGAAGAAGAAATCAGAAGTCTTCGATATCTTCAGAAAATGGAAGGCCATGGTGGAAAATGAGACTGGTTTGAAAGTCAAGCGGTTGAGGTCTGACAATGGAGGAGAGTACATAGACAGTAGATTCAGAGATTTCTGCGCAAACAATGGGATCAAGATGGAGACAACAGTTCCCAAGACACCGCAACATAATGGTGTAGCAGAGCGCATGAACAGAACTCTGAATGAACGTGCCAGAAGTATGAGGATACATGCCGGCTTGCCCAAATTTCTATGGGCTGAAGCAATCAACACTGCAGCTTACTTGATCAACCGTGGGCCCTCAGTTCCTTTGGATGGCAGAATACCAGAGGAAGTTTGGAGCAAGAAAGAAATAAACCTTTCACACTTAAGAGTGTTTGGTTGTATTTCTTATGTACACATAGACTCTGCTGAAAGAAGTAAGCTTGATGCTAAGTCCAAAAAATGTGCCTTTGTTGGTTATGGCGGTGATGAGTTCGGTTACCGGTTTTGGGACTATGAAAATCGGAAGATCATCAGAAGCAGAGACGTCATTTTCAATGAAAATGTGATGTACAAAGATAGATCAACCGCAGAATCAAGTAATACCGAAGCTGAAACAAAGGAATTTGCTGAGTTCGAGGAGATTTCTGGAAATGATGTTCAGATCAATCCTGAAGCAGTTCAAGAAGAACCAGGCACACCAGAACTGAGACGCTCCTCCAGAATTCCTAAACCAACCCAACGGTATTCTCCTTCTTTACACTACTTGTTGCTGACTGACAATGGTGAACCAGAGTGCTATGATGAAGCAATGCAAGTGGAGGATTCAGTCAAGTGGGAGTCTTCCATGAAAGATGAGATGGACTCGCTTATGTCAAATCAGACATGGGAATTAGCTGAATTACCACCAGGCAAGAAAGCGCTCCACAACAAGTGGATTTACAGGATCAAAGAAGAGCACGATGGGAGCAAACGCTACAAAGCAAGATTGGTTGTCAAAGGCTTTCAGCAAAAAGAAGGTATTGACTACAATGAAATTTTCTCTCCAGTCGTAAAATTGTCTACAATCAGACTGGTGTTGAAAATTGTAGCTGCAGAGAATTTACATCTTGAGCAGTTAGATGTAAAGACAGCTTTCCTTCATGGTGATTTGGAGGAAGAAATCTATATGAGGCAGCCAGAAGGCTTCATAGAGGCAGACAAGAAAAACCTGGTATGCAGGTTGAAGAAGAGCTTGTATGGTTTAAAACAAGCTCCTAGACAGTGGTACAAGAAGTTCGATAGCTTCATGAGTAGCAGTGGTTTTATCAGATGCCAAGCAGATCATTGTTGCTACATCAAGAGGTTCGACAACAGCTTCATTATTTTATTATTGTACGTTGATGACATGCTCGTTGCAGGCTCAGACATGCAAGAGATTATACACTTGAAGCAAAAATTGTCGAAGCAGTTTGCTATGAAGGATCTGGGCGCTGCAAAGCAGATTCTTGGGATGAGGATCAAGAGAGACACAAAGTCGGGGACTTTGATGTTATCACAGGCTGAGTACATCAACAAAGTACTCTCCAGGTTCAACATGCAAGATGCTAAACCAGTAAGTACACCTTTAGGTGTTCATTTCAGACTCTCCAAAGACCAATCACCAAAGACGGAGGAAGAACGTGCACACATGGTGAAGGTGCCGTATGCCTCAGCAATTGGAAGTCTGATGTATGCCATGGTTTGTACCAGACCAGATATTGCTCATGCAGTGGGAGCTGTTAGCAGGTACATGAATAATCCGGGCAAGGTACACTGGGAAGCAGTCAAATGGATCCTCAGATATCTTCGGGGTACCACAAACAAAGCACTTTGTTTCAAAGGTGGAGATATGATACTGACAGGCTATGTAGATGCTGACTTAGCCGGAAATGTCGACATCAGAAGGAGCACTACAGGGTATGTCTATACTCTAGGAGGAACTGCAGTGAGTTGGGTTTCTCAACTACAGAAGATAGTTGCTCTCTCCACAACTGAAGCAGAATATGTCGCTGTTACGGAAGCCAGCAAGGAGATGGTTTGGCTCCAAAGTTTCTTGGAAGAGTTAGGCAAGAAACAAGAAAACAATATCTTGTATTGCGACAGTCAAAGTGCTATCCATCTAGCAAAGAATCCGTCTTTTCATTCCAGGACAAAGCACATACAATTGAGATATCATTTTATCCGGTCTCTTCTGGAAGATGGGATTTTGAAACTTGAAAAGATTAGTGGAGCTCAAAATCCGGCAGACATGTTGACAAAGACGGTGACTACGGACAAACTGAAGTTGTGTTCAGCTTCAGTTGGCATGCTAGAATAACAAGACCAGACATGCTGCTGCATTGATCGAGGTGTGAAGACATATTAAAATCAGTCTTCAAGTGGGAGATTGTTAAAAGTTTCAAAGTTTGGCAACCAACTTTGGAAAATGTTTTTTCAAAGTTTGGTAAATGTTTCTTTGAAAAATGTTTTTCAAAGTTTGGTAAAATTTTGGTAGATGTTTGTTGAAAATAGGAATGGGTAAATTCACTTTAGTCATTGCACTTTAGGGTATTTTCAAAGATTAGTCCCTAAGTTTCTACTATAAATACCCTTACCCATTTAGCTTCAAAATCATCCCAAAACATTTCTTTCTTCCTATACTAGAGAGCTTTCTTGTGAGTAGTGAGTGTTTTGTAAACACCTGTAAATTTTCTCTCTTAGTAAAAGATCTGCAGCAGCCCGGAGACGTAAGCACAATTGGCTGAACTCCGTTATCAATTTTCGGGTATTATTTTTCCGCTTTTATTTCGCATTCTCACTAATCTGGTTATAGGGAAATTACTTGTACTCGGTTTATTTTCCTAACATATTTTTCATCCTTCCTTTCTTTACAAGAAATACCTAACAATGAATTCCATGTATAGAAGTTAAGATGCAGCCTAAAAGAAACACACTGCATCACTTAGTTGCCAGTAAAATAATTAGTTACAGCGGTAACTAATAAATTGAAAGCTGAAAATGTTATAGCCCACTATAACAAATTGGTTGCACCCAAAATGTTTGCGGAGTTTCTAAAAGTAGGTGAACAAAATAAGTTGAAAGTTGAAAATGTTATCATTCATACCATGAAATTTGGTTGCGCCCATTATTGTTAGCGTTCGATAAGAAAATAAGTTGAGATTGAGTTTGTTATAAGCTGCTTTAACATATTTGATTTTTGAACGAAGATGTTATTGGAGCTTAACAAATGAGTTTATCAAAATAAGGGCGGTAAGAAAATAAATTGAAAACCAAAAATATTATCCATCATGGGAAGAAATCTGGATACGCCTATGATTGTTAGTGTTCGATAAGAAAGTAAGTTGATATAAGGTTTGTTGTAAGGTACTTTAACAAATATGGTTTTGACTGAAAATCTTATCGGGGTTTAGCAAATTGATTCATCAAAATAAGGACGACAACAAAATAAGTTGGAAGATGAAAAACTTATCAACCGTGGTAAGAAATTTGAGTGTGCCCATGATTGTTAGCGTTTGATACGAAAGTAAGTTAAGATTAGGTTTGTTATAAGTTGTTTTAACAAATTCGGCTTCGACCAAAAATGTTACAGAGAGTTTAGTAAATTGGTTCATCAAAATAAGGGCGGTAACAAAATAAGTTGAAAGCTGAAAATGTTATCAATCATGGTAAGAAATCGGATTGTGCCCATGAATATTAGTGGCTGATAAGAAACTAGATTGAGATCAGGTTTGTTATAAGTTGCTTTAATAAATCCGATTTCGACCGAAAATGTAACCAAAGTTTAGCAAATGGATCTAGCAAAATAACAGGACGGTAAAAAATAAGTTGATAGGCGAAAATTAGATTTTGGGAGATTAAGAAAGAAAATTATGATATTTTTGTGTTTAAGCATTCAGAATCGATTATATTTTCACAACTATATTTATTAGGTTACAACCTAAAATATTATAAATAAATGTCATATTTTCGGTCGCACTCAACTTAATTATTATGTTTTCTCTCACATTTTCGATCATGTTCATTTTCGTCGTTTTTTAACTTTAAATTAAACTAATTTTTATTAGACTTTCCCTTTAACGTTGTTTTCCTTTCCATTTACTTTGATCCAACTAAATCCCATAATTGTTTTTTCTTTTGGTTTGTTTTTACTTTGTTTTTTTCCTTCTATAATTTTATTATTGAAATCATATGGTGATTACAATGATGTTGTTTCTTCTTCTGCTTTATCTCTATGTTTTGATTTATCTTCTTCGATAGATTTTAAAGTGAAATTATTGAAAAAACTAAATTAACTTTTTATTTTTCTTAATTTATTAAACAATAATTTTAATCGACTGTCATCCTTGACGACATGAAAATCTCTTTGTCAAAACTGATTCCTTCCTTTTTCTTTATATTTTTTATTTGACCCATTATTATTTTTAATTATTCATTAAATCGTTTTCTATGTCGAGTTAATGAACGCTAGTAAATGATTCAATCACAACAGCCTAAAATTAATTAAACCCAAATTAAGTCGGCCGTAGTTAAATTAAGGGTAAAGTATAGTAATGGTCACTGAAATTTTCTGAAGCTTTCATTTAGGTCCCCCAACATTTAGTCCGTTTGTAATATGGTCCCCCAACATTTAGTCCGTTTGCAATATGGTCACCAACGTAACTGTTGGGGACCATATTGCAAACGAACTAAATGTTGGGGGACTATATTATAAGTTTTAAAAGTTGGGGGCCCTAAATGAAAGCTTTAGAAAAGTTCAGTGACCATTACTATACTTTACCCTTATTTTTTTTGTAATTTACTCGAAATCATATACAATTACAACTTGAAATTTAACAATCACGAAAGATGACAAAATAATTAATCCAAAATTAAAACGACACGACCTGAACTCATTTCGTATTTGGTAAACATTCGACCTGAATTGTATCTATCAATGATGTGACCCGATCTGAACGAGATCTGACTGAAGTCCACCTGAACCTGAATTAACCTGGTCTTTATCTGCTTCGGACCTGAACTAACATCGATCCGAACTGAAAATGGCCCGACTTGAACCTGATATGAATCTGGTGTTAATCAACTTGAAAATAACTCGAACTGATTTGACCTGTACCCGACCTGATCTGAGTCAAACAATCAAATTGACCTAACTTGATCTGTACCTGATTTTACCCGACCTGCTAGGATCCGACTGAAACCTGACCGATTACATGATTTTACAACCTTACACCTTCTTGAGTGGACACTCCACCACGTCGGGCTATTGTGGTCGGCCTCTAAGAACGAGTGTAAGGATGTTGTTTGGGTAAAATTATTGAATTCTTACGTAATAAAGTTAATCACCAATAAATTTTTAACCATTCGAATTATAATATAATATAATATAATTATTAATTAAAATTTGAATAATCTAACAATAAATTATATAATACTCTAATTATATTTATAACTTAAAATATAAGATTAATTAATACTTGAATATGATATATTATAAAATAAAATATATTTGAATTAAACTATCACTAGAGTTAATTAATTGGGTAAAGTATAGTAATGGTCACTGAACTTTTCTAAAGATTTCATTTAGGTCCCCCAACTTTTAAAACTTACAATATAGTCCCCCAACATTTAGTCTGTTTACAATATGATCCCCAACATTTAGTATGTTTGCAATATGGTCCCCAACGTAACTGTTAGGGGACCATATTGCAAACGAACTAAATGTTAGGAGATTGTATTGCATGTTTTAAAAGTTGAGGGACCTAAATAAAAACTTTAAAAAAGTTCAGTGATCATTACTATACTTTACCCTTAAATTAAAATCGCCCCAAAACAATCTAATTGTTACAACTCACAAGTCTATCTTAACCTTACTAGATGAGGAAAAGAGTAAGGGTAAACTATAAGTTTATTACCTCAACTATCATCTTTGTTTCATTTTGGTTACTTATTTTTTTTAAATCATATCTGACATTTTATTTTGATTTCATTTTGATCACAAAATTAACAAAACTATTGACATGACATTTATTAAAAAATTTAATAATAGTGTGGCATTACCTTATGATAACATATCAGCATTATAATTAATTTTTTAATGGCGTGTGACCAAATAAAATCAAAACATAACGTTATGTATGATTTTAAAACAAAAAATAGTTGATTGATCAAAACGAAATAAAAGTGATAATTGGTACTAAAAGTGTAGTTTACCCAAAAATATGTAGGTTTCTCGGCTATAGACTCTTCTATTCATGAAGGAAAATGAATCCCTAGCACTCAAGGTATTAGAAGAAGGCCAATTGGCGCACTTCACAAGCCACGCATATTTTTACTACTAATCACAGCTTTGCATATTTTCCCCTTTTCCTCTCTTTCACTTCAACACTGAAACAAAACCATCTTTCACCAAATCCCTCTCAAGTCTCTTCTTTTCTGCACCTCTTCATATAATTTTCCCTTTCCATCATTTTGATCTTCTCGTCATAATTTATTTTGGGGTTTTTTTCCCCTTTTCTTTTTAAATCTTAATCTTCTTTTTGTTGTATAGGCTAAAGAACAAACGGAAACAGATGGGCTGCACAGTGAGAGATAAGCATAGGTCGACCCGGAGAAACCGATCGGTGAAACCCGATATCGATCCCTGCTGTCTTATTGATAAAGACTCTATATCCAAATCCATGCTTGAATCGGGTTTCAAGTCCTCGAGTTACCATCTGTGTCTAAACGATTCAACCCAAAGCCCTAATCCTACTCCTAATCATAATACCAATACTAATTTTAATGATCATGGTTTAGGGTATTGTACTGAGGAACAATTAGAGGAATTTTTATTGAAAAATCTGGAGTTTTTATATAATGAAGCTATATCTAAGCTTGTAGCGTTAGGTTATGATGAGGATGTTGCATTGAAGGCGATTTTGAGAAATGGGCATTGCTATGGTGGAATGGATGTGTTGACTAATATATTGCATAATTCACTGGCTTATTTGAATAGTAGTTGTGGTAGTAGTAATGGGAGTAATTCTGAGGAAACCGATACAGGTTTTCCGGATTTAAGGCAACTGCAGGAGTATTCTCTTGCCGGTATGGTTTGTTTGTTGCAACAAGTTAGGCCACATTTAAGTAAAGGTGATGTTATGTGGTGTTTGCTTATGAGTGATCTTCATGTAGGTAAGGCTAGCACCATGGAGATTCCGTTACTTCCTTCACCCTCCAATGGGTGTACTCCGGTGTTGAACAACCTAGATAACATTGGTAATAATGGGGTCGGTGTTGTTTCACCAGCACTATGTAGGTTTCATGGTGGTTGGGGATTTGGTAACGGAGCAGCAGTAAATGGGTTCTTTTCCAATGGCTCAGAAATGACTTTGCAGAGGGATATTGAATGTCCTGAGAGGTTTAATCTTTCGCCTTCAATGAAGTCTTTGTTGAAGAGGAACGTTGCAATGTTTGCTGCTAGCTTTAGGGCCAACTCAAAACAAACACAGACGCAAAATCAGACATGTGTGGCCATGATGCCTAGTGGGGATGCCCCTCTGGCAGCCCCTGGGAGTGATGTTCCAGCTGAGAAAGCTGATGACTCACGCAATTTGAAGAGCCAGGACGGGGTTACTTCAGTATTGAGTAAATTTCGTGATTTGAATATTGATGAGAATTTGGAACATGTTGGGGAAGTTCAGAGAGGTGAAATGATAATTTCTCTGCTTCATCAAATAAAGGATCTTGAGAAGCAAGTGAAAGAGAGGAAGGAGTGGGCTCACCAGAAAGCAATTCAGGCTGCAAGAAAGCTTAGTAATGATCTGACAGAACTTAAAATGTTGAGGATGGAGAGGGAGGAGATGCAGCAGATGAAGAAGGGGAAACACAAAATAGAGGACTCAACCATGAAGAGGCTGTCAGAGATGGAGAATGCTCTGAAGAAAGCAAGTGGACAGGTGGACCGAGCAAATGCAGCTGTGAGACGGCTTGAGACTGAGAATGCAGAAATCAGAGCTGAGATGGAGGCTTCTAAATTAAGCGCATCTGAATCAGTCACAACCTGTCTTGAGGTTGCGAAAAGGGAGAAAAAATGCCTGAAGAAGCTTTTGGCTTGGGAGAAACAGAAAACTAAATTGATGGAGGAGATTGCTGATGAAAAGGAGAAGATTATAGAGCTCCAACGATGCTTAGCTCGAGTAGAGCAGGATCAGAAAGAAACTGAGGTATGTCTTGTATACATTTAGATGTACACGCTTCCATGCATAAGATATCCACTCAACCTCTCAAGGCCTTGGTTTTTTGTTATTTTGTGTGAAATAAAGCAAAATCCATTGAGCATTTTCAACCTATCTGGTATGCTTCTGTTGGCACTGTTTATAAATAATTGAACTGCATTAGAACCATTCCTCCTCCTCTTGCATAAGCTATCTTTTTTAGTTTAGCTAAAGGTCATAGTTTAGATAGCAAGTGATCATATTAGAAGCTGGAATTTACATTCCGTTGTTATCTCTTTCATTCATATAAATTTTGTTTTAGCTAGACCCATTATTTTGGGTATAAAAATGTCCAAATCAGGAAGGCACTTTAGCTTAAAAGCAGTGGAGGGATGCTGAATACACACAGGCTCTCTCATTTATCTGATCGTGGTAGATCATCTCTAGTAGATTTGCAAATGTGACTTGACTCAGGGCAGGAGCCAGTCTTTCACTTGTTTCCCTTCTTTTAATCTTCTATTTGTATTTGTTGTAGTAAATATTATTTGTCTGATTCACTTTTTTATTTTACCCCTGTTTATTTAGTTCTAATTATTTATATGCATGGGTGGCCCTTTTGTGCTCAATTTTCTATGTTTTTCCTGAACTCTTGTGTTTAGCTAGTCCGTGCTTATAATATCATTATGTTTAATGTTTTTTTGCATTCTACATCTCCCAATTTCAAGTGTAGCAACCATGTTGTGCAATCTTCTTTTTTCAGTCAAATTGGAAAGAGGAGTTGAAGGCCAAAGAGGTAGCCTTGGCTCAATTGGAGCAAGAACGGCATTCCAAGGAAGTAGCTGAGGCGAGCAATAAAAGAAAGCTTGAGGCTTTGCGTCTGAAGATAGAGATAGATTTTCAGCGCCTTAGGGATGATCATCAACGACTTGAGCAGGAGCTTTCCCGTCTGAAACTGTCTGCACAATCTACCGAGTTGAATCATCAAACAGATAATTTACTCACAGGAAAGTCAGAGGGAGCAAAGCCACAGGGAGAAACAATTGCCAAGTTGCTTCACGAATTAGATAAGCATCAGGATTCTTCTGAGAATGAAGTCATCAGTGACAGAGAATGCATAATATGTTCAAAAGATGAAGTCTCTGTTGTTTTTCTGCCTTGTGCACACCAAGTCCTATGTGCTAATTGCAACGAAAGTTACGGGAAGAAAGGCAAAGCTACTTGCCCATGCTGCTGGGTGCCAATTGAACAGAGAATCCGGGTTTATGGTGCTACTTCATAGTTGCAGCTTGGTTTTAAGAAAACACTATGCTGCAAACTTCAGCATACTTGGTATTTATGCAATTTTCTTTATCTAGCAAATCAATGATACTGCTGGCTTTTACATATACTTGCTTGCTTTTAACTAAACATACCCTTGGGAATTCCCATGGAGAATTTGTATTTAAATAAGTACCAATCTTCTATCAGCTGTCTTGTGCTTTTGGCCTTGGAATAAGTTACAAACTCATAATTTCTTCTGTTGCCATCAGGTTGAAAACTTAAATTGAGCAAGTGGTTTCTCGTATATCTTTATACTTGACATTGTTGTCCATAGCAATGGAGATGGTATGTTGGCCTACCAGGGCTTACTTTGAATTCTTTTGCTTAAAATAATGAAAATCTTTTTCCACTGCTGCAATTGATTTGATTAATGAAGTTGAACTAAAAGAGAAAAATGCAAAGTTCAAATTAGGGTTAAAAAAACTAATGGTATCTATTATCAAGCAAAAAAAAGAAAAAAAGACAATAAAAAAGGGACCAACTAAAATCGAACCGGTAACTTCTTGATCTGCAGTCAAATGCTCTACCACTGAGGTAAAGATCTTGTATAAACTAAAGGAATTGTTAATTTAACTAATGACAAGTTGTATCCAAATTCTGATGTGTTCCAGCATGACTGGATACATCATTTTGTTTAGTACATAAGAGAGAAGAACAATGCTTGGAATGGTATATTTGAAAAATAAGCATATTCGTTCTGTAGCTGATCTCTACAATACCAATTCGATTTGGCTACCAAGATTCCAGGATGAATTCTCTAGGCAAGCAAAAAGCAAATTCTGATATATTTGATGCATTCCTCTTCTGCTAAACAAGCCAAGTCTAGATTGGGATCACCAGAGATTTCTTGCTTTAGTTGCATTATCGCTCCAAGTACTGAACTGGAAGATGATGATAGGCTAAACGGGGATTAGGGAAGTTTTGATGGGATCATTGAAGAAAAACACTGAGTAACCATTAAATCAAGCTCCAGGTGCAATCTTTAAAAGTGATTTACCACTATGGGTTCTTTAAAATAAAACAGTTGAGTTACCATACACCCCCAAACTAATTAAAACAAAAACACACCAATCTTAATGGAACCTAACGCCGATGAAGGGGTTGCTGCAACTTTATTATTCATCACTCCAAGAACCAACATTAAAAGGCGCCGTCTTAGAGTCCCCTTCTAAGCTTCAATATCCCACATCGCTAGTTTCATAAGGCAAAGAACAATTGCAGCACCATGATAGTGTGTTCGTAGAAAGGAGAGATGGTTGGCATCTCCCCTGACAAGGACGCCAACGGCTTACGGGCTTTCCTGTTAACACATCCCGTTAAGGCTACCCATCTTCTAGGTGGATATATAACCCATTTTTTTTCCAAATTATTCCTAATCTCTATCCTTAATTAAATATAGGTATAACAAAAAAAAAAAACACACTAATATTTGTAACTGTTATATTTTTCAGGTTAACTAATTGAACTATTAAACTTAAACCATTTTAATTAATCAAGCTGTTAAAAATAACGATTAGCGATTACAATTACAAATTTTAAGGGCAATTTTATGAATCCTATTGAATTTGAGGATTTATCATTAGTCGAATGAACTTTAGAGTTGAGACATTCTTTTATCTTTCCTTTTTCTTGATTTATTTTACAGTAAACTATTAAGTAGTCATTAATATTTGTAAAAGTTTTCGTTTTCCTTACTAAAGTTTCAAAAGTAATAAATTGATTACTAACATCATCGATATATAACAAACCGGTCATCACTGTTAATGGTCGTTACTGCAATAATGGAATGTTGATGTGGCAGTAAGTTAACTTGGCATACAATTAGCTTACTTATCTTGATAACCCATTCACTTTCCCGTTTTTATAACAGCCAAACAATCATTTTCTTCCCTAAACTAATTCAAACAAACCTCTATTCCACAATAGATGATTCCTCTATTCTTTTGGGGAGTAATAAACTCCTGCATGTTAATAAATCCACTCTTAATAAATCCGCCACCATTGTTCTCGATTAATGGCAGGAAGCCAATTCCATTTACAACTTCAATGGAATCACCTGCGACTATGAATATTAAGTTGATGATGTTGAAAGTGACAAAGATGTCTTCAGTGGGGAAACACATCCCAAGAGGCCAAGACCATAGCCAACAAATAGTGTCATGTAAGTCAACTAACGTGCTACATCAACATTCCGTTATCACAGTAACAATGGTTAATGTCGAGTGATGATTTGTTATAAATCGATAACATTAGTGATCATTTGTTACTTTCGAAACTTTAATGAGAAAAACGAAAATTTACTCAAACATTAGTGACCAATATATAATTCACTCTTTATTTTATTTTACTTATTATATATATATATATATATATATATATATATACAATAAACCTTGATAGATATCAATTACAAACCCAAAAGAGTAAAATCCCACGCCATCTATCATCCTTGTACCAAAAAACTATAAATTGAGTTAATAAAATTGTTTAGGCTGATGAAGGTAAGTTTATTGTTTATTATCAATATTTTTTTATTCATTTTATCAGTTTTTTTTTTTTGGAATATTTTATCAGTTAGTTATTAGAAATACTTCGTTATCTTATTTGATTGGACTTTTAAGATTAAAATACTTTGTTGACAAAATACAACGTTATCTAAAAGTACATTACATTAAATTGTAACTATGGTAATTTTTTTTTAATAAGTTTAACATTCAATATTAAATTTAACATTTAACATAGTATTAATATGATATTAAAAAAAATAGTATTAATATGATTAATATATTGAATAGAACTAAAAAAACAATTGCATATATTGTGAGAATGCTGTCATGGAGGCTAAGAATGATGAAAGCTCAAATGAAGGAGGAGGAAACTTAAAGATAGAGAGATGACAGAATGAAGATTTTATTGATCATTTAAGAAAAGTACTCTCCCTACAATCTAATATAAGTGTGGCTTATATAGCCCAAGTAACCAACAACTATAACAAACTAATAACAACTAATAACAAACTCTAACATGAATTGTTGAATAAATTTTCATAAAAACACAAGATTTTGAGCTAACATTGTTTTATTAGGGTATAATTTGGTTTGATTGTAGGCCAGACTTCGAGTTTGAGCTAACAATGGATGAAAGAGATAAGAGGTAATTTCAAAATAGTGTTCACTATTGACAATCTTGATCATCTCAGAAATAAGAGGTAATGACATTATGCCCTGTATTACCAAGTACCAGCCCCAGATAATGTTAACAAATCAAACGATATAATGTATTTCATTACCGGATAAAACCACACGCACACACAAGGGTTACCATTAATTTTGGATGCACTACTTTGTTTTAGGTACATTGTTCGCCCCGTATCAAGCGAACTTTTTGCAGGGAAAAAAGCATCCCGGCTTAAATCCGACCCGTCCTTATGTCTCTATCTATAGCATCTGCATTGAGGGTCCCTGGAAGCTCTCTAAAATCTTCATTGAAGATGGAATATGCACTGTAAATATCTCAAGGGAAAACATAAGTAATAAGTTGTCGTGTGAAAGAAGCATGCAGTTCGTGTTTTACAAAAGAAATAAGTCGAATTCTATGACGGTTTACAAACTAAACAAAGATGATTGCCCATGCTTAAGATATACTCCACAAAACCCTTTGTAAAAGTGTTCGAAAATAAGTTTAATTATTAATCCTAAATTATTGGCAGGGTCAACCACCATGGGTCATGTGACAGTTTATTTGCCATTTATCTTCTGCTTCACATTATAAACTTGCTACTTAGCTGATAATAGGATTACCTGACATCTCCAGGTTGCCGCCGTCCAAGATTCAGGAAAATTAGACAAAAGCCGGTACCTAGTATCTGACCATATGAGAGGTAGAAGAAAATATATGAACATCTTTTGTTATGCAAAAGATCTAGATGCTCAAAACAAATTTTACATGTGAATGTCTGATAAATTGTCTGTGTCTTTCAACAATCTTAGTCTTCATCTATTATTTTGCATTGCTTGCTAGTTTCATACGCAGTATAGGCAAATTATAACATCAGAATTATTCTCTAAATCCTCGTTAAAATTTTACGAAGATAAAACTGTTGGACAATCGAAAATGATTACTTTCATTTACTTCCAACATGTTGATACCCACTTAAATACACTGAAAATAATATAATATTCTAATCTAAGAATAATAAGATAACCAAATGATAACCACGAAAAGCTTTATTTTCGTGCCAGCATTCCTCAACTGTCTAGAAGGAGATAAAAAGAAACCGGATAAGAGAATTCGTGCATAGAGCCTCACTTCCACAAGAAAAGAAGGATACTTTCAACATTCATAAACAGTCGTATGGAAGTGACAAGCCAACTTACATATAGCGGTCCGAGTTCCCATTTATGAGCAATAGGTGCCAGTATAAACCACAAAATGACAAGAGCCCACGCCTTAAGACTCAGAGAAAACATTGCCATCAAAATTATATCTATAAAAGGACATATAAGAGATGGTCAAGACGTGAACTATTATTTGTAAAAAATAAAAAAAGCTGATTTCAAGTTGATTCTCACCAGGAAGCTTCAATCTATTACGTAAAAATGAGTAAAGCTTCTTCTTCCATCGGCTTGTTGACTGTGGGAGCTGAAATTTCTGTTCAAGAATTGAGGAAAAAAGTAAATTATCAATAAAAATTCTTGGTTTATCAAACTGCCATCTAAGCTCAGGTTAAGGACAGTGTTAATTCAACCATACCAAATCTTCATCATCGTCCTCAATATTGAGTCCAACCGGTGCCTTCGGCTTAACCGCAACAATGAGGGAATCTAGAAAATTAGTACATAGCACCCATATATCAATAGCAAAACACAAACATGGACCATCATAAAGAAATTTACTGAGCCGTTGGACATTACGAACAACAATAAAGAGTTGAAACCGGCATTAAATGAGGGAGTTTCGTCGTTCACAAACACTGGACAATATGACTGGTTTTTTAATATAAAGGTAAGGGGACTTGCGATGAGAATAATTCCTTCATTACTTCATCCACACCACTAATGATAAATGTAAGCAGTGAAAGCAAACTACTGCATAATTATTTTTTCAATTAAAGGCAAGATCTATACCACCATCATTGAGTCGAGTGTAAACGTCATCTTCATCTTCACGATCATGCAATACCTTCCCTTGCAAGATAAGCTTCAAATTCTCTTCTGGCAAATGATTCTTTCGAGCTACCAATTTTCTCAACTCAATTACCTGCTTGATAGAAATACAAAAACATAATGATTTATATACATGCAAGGGTACTTAAAATTTAATCAAGTTTATTTTCTTAACACAATGGCACTTAAAAATCATCAAAGTGTGGTACCTAAACACCACCAAAAGAAACCCTTGACGACTCTGGATATGGAAGCAAAGAAATCACATTGGAACCTAAGATAGAAAAAGTAAAAAATACAACCAAATACAATTTAGGCTCCATGAACCTTGAAGTCCAAGGTGCATCCACAGCCACAGGAACCCAAGATACATAGGGAAACTTGAAAAGTTGTTTTCCATTCTATAAGAAAACTTCAAGAACTATACAAAGGCTTCAATGGTTCAACCATAGAAATTACTCAATTTGACTTAAAAGTAAAGATCTTTAAACAAGTTGAACTTCCTCATTCTTATCTCAGGCATGATGCTCTGCGTTGACTCTTACAATTTGGTTGTAAACAAAAGGACATATTTTTAAGTCATGAGATTGAAATCAAAACAACATGCAACGAGATAAACATGAAAACAGAAGGTAGATAAACGTACTTTGATGGAAGAAGGGACATGAAGGGGAGAAGGACGAGTAGGGCCGATGGTTTTGACTGTAATTTCTACCATATTTGCATGTTTTCCATTGGTTTCCTCCACAATGTCTTCCATTCTCGTATAATTAACTGATCTGATGGGTATGAATGAATTTAACAGCTTTTGTTCATTTGTAGGAAGAAAGGTCAAAGACCCAAGTTTTTGGCCAAGGCGCCAAGCTTTGGCCTTTTTTTTTCCCAATAGCTTTTTCCAAAGACCTCCCCGATTGGGAATTTTCCGCCTCTGAGATGAAAGGAGAAAGCTTGAAACTTTCCCAAATACTGGATCAGCCCATGAACTACACCCCCGACCCGCATCATAAACACGGGTTTGTGAACCCGACTTGTTAAAGTTTGTGTTTGGAATCTTTTTTTTAAGCTTAATATATGAATTATATATCTTCCCTCGTTTTGATGTTTAATTTTCCTTTTGTCAATGTAAATATTTAATGTTATTAATATTATAATTTTAAATATCTGATTTGTTAAAATCGTCGATCATTTAAAATTTAACACGTATCATGTTTATAATTTTTTTTAAATATTATTTTTCTAAAAAATACTTTAAAAGACCTCAAATTTTTACTAAAATCTCAAAACTTCTAAAGTTTTTATTTTCAAACCCCATCAGCCATATTCATCTCCGATTACCTCCGGCTTTCACCATCACCGAACAACACCCACTCATTGCAAATCATTCAGTAACCGGTCATGGTCTTGTTGTCGCCCATTATTAACCTCTACAAATACGATAAAAGTTTCTAATAACATTCAAACATATTAGGAAATAGAGAGATGAACTAACTGTAATTGGAGCAACCGAGGCTGCCATTGGAGATATTCTCATAGATGACAAGCTTCTCATCGTTTCCCTAGTAAAACCCAAGCAACTTAACATTATATCTAGGCCTCCTTCAAGTGATGGATACTGTACTACATTGCAGAAAACTGTTGCTTCAGGTAACAAAAGAGGGTTATCCGATGATATTGTAGTTCAAAAGGATTTTCCACCTCTTTGGGATGTAGATACGAAAGGTATGGTGAATGGTGCAGTGGAGACCTGTAAAGGGAGCATTCATAGATTCCACAAGTATCTCAAACAACTTTCACTCATGCTTGTGATTGGGCATTTGGGATGATTTTTTTTTATTTGTAATGGAGAAACCGAAGCATCACAGCCATATATCATCATTGGCAAGATATTTGTTGGAGGAAAATTCAGCAAGTGCGGCTGAATAGTAAAAAGGTGGGGCACGCCTAAATGGAAATTAAAGGTGGGGGCACGCCTAAATGGAAATTAAATGGGTCAATTATAACTTTAGTTATTGTATTTTTTAAGGTATTTATAAGATTAGTCCATAAACTTTAACTATAAATACCCTAACCCATTTAGCTTTAAAATCATCCCAAAATCCCAAATCATTTCTTTCTCCTAATACTAGAGAGTTTTCTAGTGAGTAGTGAGTGTTTTGTAAACACCTGTAAATTTTATCTTTAGTAAAAGATATGCAGCAGTCCGAAGAAGTAGACACAATTGCCTGAACTCCGTTATCAATTTCGGGTATTATTTTTCGCTTTTATTTCGCATTCTCACTAATCTGGTTATAGGGAAATTACTTGTTACTCGGTTATTTCCCAACAACTGGTAATTAGAGTTTTTGGTTGTGAATTTTGTCAATTTTTGCGATGTTATTATTCATTACTACTTACGTGAATAGTGAATTTCGTGAATATTAAATTTCGTGAATAGTAAAATTTTGTCGGCGATAATAATTTGTCGACGGAGGTGCTCTAATTCACGGCGATTCACGAAAATTGTCAGAACGATCCAAAGAAGCCAGATTCGAGTGGGAGCGATGGCTGCAGACGAAGGGAATGTGAAAATTGAAAAGTTCGATGGTGTGGACTTTGGCTTTTGGAAGATGCAGATTGAAGATTTTTTGTACCAGAAAAATCTATATCAACATCTCTCAGGAAAGCAACCAGAGGGCATGAAGAATGAAGACTGGGCTCTTTTCGACAGACAATCCTTCGGAGTTATCCGACTGACGTTATCCCGCAATGTTGCTTTCAACATAGCAAAGGAAAAGACCATGGCGGGTCTTATGACGGCTCTCTCCTGTATGTATGAGAAGTCGTCGGCCTCAAATAAAGTTCATTTGATGAGGCGATTGTTCAATTTGCGGATGGCGGAAGAGGCATCGGTGGCACAACACCTAAATGAACTCAACACAATCACAACTCAATTGAGTTCAGTGGAAATTGAATTCGATAATGAAGTTCGAGCTTTAATTCTCTTATCATCTCTACGAGACAGTTGGAATGTTATTGTTACAGCAGTCAGCAGCTCGTCGGGAAACAGCAAATTAAAATTCGACGATGTTCGGGATCTGGTATTGAGTGAATAAATTCGACGAAGAGAATCGGGTGAAGCATCAACCTCCTCAGCCTTGCACAGGAGTCTAGAGGGAGAACTTCATAGAGAAATTCAAATTGTGGCAGATCCAAATCCAGAAGGGGAAAATCAAGAACGTGAAAGAAAGATTATACATGTTATAATTGTGGCAAGAAGGGTCACTTTAAAAGAGATTGTCGAGCACTGAAGAAAGATACTGACGCACAAGATTCTGCCAACGTGACAGAGGAGACAGGTGATGCCATGATTCTAAGTGTCAACAGTCCGATTGAATCATGGATCTTGGATTCAGGGGCATCTTTCCATTCCACCACATTTCGAGAAATCATGGAGAACTATGTCAGTGGTGATTTTGGGAGAGTTCATCTAGCTGATGATGAAACCTTGAAGATCGTCGGAAAAGGAGACATCCGATTAAAGTTGCCAAACCAGACTACCTGGACGCTGAAAGGAGTGAGACATATTCCTGGCCTCAAAAGAAATTTGATTTCTGTAGGACAGCTTGATGGAGAAGGATATAACACAACCTTTCAGGCTGTGAATGGAAGATTATCAAAGGAGCACTCGTCATTGCTCGTGGTAAGAAGACTGATACTCTCTATAAAACCTCAAATTTAGAAAATATCATTGCAGTAGCAGATGCTGATGGAAAATCAAACTTATGGCACCAAAGGCTTGGACATATAAGCGAGAAAGGGATGAAGACATTTTTATCAAAAGGGAAGCTGCCGAATCTAAAGAGTGTAGATGTCGGACTATGCGAGGATTGCATATTTGGCAAACAAAAGAAAGTCAGTTTTGTAGAGATTGGCAAGACAACCAAGGCAGAAAAGTTAGAGTTGGTTCATACTGATGTATGAGGACCATCTCATGTTCCATCTCTTGCAGACTCACTATATTATGTCACCTTCATCGATGATTCTACAAGGAATGTGTGGGTTTATTTTCTGAAGAAGAAATCAGAAGTCTTTGATACATTCAGAAAATGGAAGGCCATGGTGGAAAATGAGACTGGTTTGAAAGTCAAGCGGTTAAGGTCTGACAATGGAGGAGAGTACAAAAATAGAAGATTCAGAGAATTTTGCGCAAACAATGGGATCAAGATGGAGACAACAGTTCCCATGACACCGTAACAGAATGGCGTAGCAGAGCGCATGAACAGAACTCTGAATGAACGTGCCAGAAGTATGAGGATACATGTCGGCTTGCCCAAAATGCTATGAGCTGAAGCTATCAACACTGCAGCTTACCTAATCAACCGTTGACCCTCAGTTCCCTTGGATGGTGGAATACCAGAGGAATTTTGAAGCAAGAAAGAAATAAACCTTTCACACTTAAGTGTGTTTGGTTGTATTTCTTATATACACATAAACTCTACTGAAAGAAGTGAACTTGATGCCAAGTCCAACAAATGCATCTTTGTTAGTTTGGTGGTGATGAGTTCGGTTACCGATTTTGGGACTACGAAAATCGAAAGATCATCAGAAGCAGAGACGTCATTTTCAATGAGAATGTGATGTACAAAGACAGGTCAACCATAGAATCAAGTAGCTCAAATACCGAAGCTGAAACAAAGGAATTTGCTGAGTTTGAGGAGATTTCTGAAAATGATGTTCAGATCAATCATGAAGCAGTTCAAGAAGAACCAGTCACACTAGAACTGAGACGATCTTCCAGAATTCCTAAACCAACCCGACGTTATTCGCCTTCTTTGCACTACTTGTTGCTGACTGACAATGGTGAACCAGAGTGCTATGATGAAGAAATGCAAGTGGAGGATTCAGTCGAGTGGGAGTCTTCCATGAAAGATGAGATGGAGTCACTTATGTCAAATCAGACGTGGGAATTAGCTAAATTACCACCAGGCAAGAAAGCGCTCCACAACAAGTGGATTTACAGGATCAAAGAAGAGCATGATGGGAGAAAACGCTACAAAGCAAGATTGGTTGTCAAAGGTTTTCAGCAAAAAGAAGGTATTTACTACAATGAAATTTTCTCTCCAGTCGTCAAACTGACTACAATCAGTCTGGTGTTAAAAATTGTAGATGCAGAGAATTTACATCTTGAACAGTTAGATGTAAAGACAATTTTCCTTCATGGTGATTTGGAGGAAGAAATCTATATGAGGCAGCCAGAAGGCTTCATAGAGGCAGGCAAGAAAAACCTGGTATGCAGGTTGAAGAAGAGCTTGTATGGTTTAAAACAAGCTCCTAGACATTGGTACAAGAAGTTCGATAGCTTCATGAGTAGCAGTGGTTTTACCAGATGGCAATCAGATCATTGTTGCTACATCAATAGGTTCGACAACAGCTTCATTATTTTATTATTATACGTTGATGATATGCTCGTTGCAGGCTCAGACATGCAAGAGATTATACACTTGAAGCAAAAATTGTCGAAGCAGTTTGCTATGAAGGATCTAGGCGCTGCAAAGCAGATTCTTGGGATGAGGATTAATAGAGACACAAAGTCGAAGACTTTGATATTATCACAGGCTGAGTACATCAACAAAGTACTCTCCAGGTTCAACATGCAAAATGCTAAACCAGTAAGTACACCTTTAGGTGTTTATTTTAGACTCTCCAAAGAACAGTCATCAAAGTCGGAGGAAGAACGTGCACACATGGTAAAGGTGTCGTATGCCTCAGCGATTGTAAGTCTGATGTATGCCATGGTTTGTACCAGACCAGATATTGCTCATGCAGTGGGAGCTGTTAGCAGGTACATGAATAAATCGGGAAATGTACACTGGGAAGTAGTCAAATGGATCCTCAGATATCTGCGAGGTACCACAAACAAAGCACTTTGTTTCAAAGGTGGAGATACGATACTGACAGACTATGTAGATGCTGACTTAGCCGGAAATGTTGACATCAGAACGAGCACTAAAGGGTATGTGTATACTCTAAGAGGTACTGTAGTGAGTTGGGTTTCTCAACTACAGAAGATAGTTGCTCTCTCCACAACTGAAGCAGAATATGTAGCTGTTACGGAAGTCAACAAGGAGATGGTTTGGCTCCAAAGTTTCTTGGAAGAGTTAGGCAAGAAACAAGAAAACAATGTCTTGTACTGTGATAGTCAAAATGATATCCATCTAGCAAAGAATCCGTCGTTTCATTCCAGGACGAAGCACATACAATTACGATATCATTTTATCCGATCTCTTCTGGAAGATGGGATATTGAAACTTGAAAATATTAGTGGAGCTCAAAATTCGGCATACATGTTGACAAAGACGGTGATCACAGACAAACTGAAGTTGTGTTCAGCTTCAGTTGGCATGCTAGAATAAAAGACCAGAAATGCTGCTGCATTGATCGAGGTGTGAAGACAAATTAAAAGCAGTCTTCAAGTGGGAGATTGTTGGAGGAAAATTCAGCAAGTTCGACTGAATAGTCAAAAGGTGGGGGCACGCCTAAATGGAAATTAAAGGGGGTGGGCATCGACGGTCTGGTGTTTTTTAACAATTGGGGGCATCGAATTCGGTGCCTCAATTTTTAATTAAAATGTAAATGGGTTAATTGCAACTTTAGTCATTGCATTTTTAGGGTATTTATAATATTAGTCCCTAAGCTTCAACTATAAATACCCTAACCCATTTAGCTTCAAGATCATCCCAAAATCCCAAATCATTTCTTTCTCCCAATACTAGAGAGTTTTCTAGTGAGTAGTGAGTGTTTTGTAAACACCTGTAAAATTTCTCTTTAGTAAAAGATCTGCAGCAGTTCGGAGACGTAGGCACTATTGGCTGAACTCCGTTATCAATTTCGGGTATTATTTTTCCGCTTTTATTTCTCATTCTCACTAATCTGGTTATAGGGAAATTACTTGTTACTCGGCTATTTCCCAACAATATGAAAACACTTCACTAATCCTTTTCACGTGTTTCAACCCTCTCATCGAAACTTATTTTAATTCCAATGTCTCTCATGTTAACATTATCATCTAAAAAACCATTTGAATTTTCATGAATTTCTAAAAATCATTTGGTCAATAAAGAACCTACTTTTGCAAAACGAGGGTCGAACTCTTCGAAAGCTTGACACATTGCTACCAGGACTGATAACTTTCTATAACTTAACCTATTGCTCTTATGGTGCCTGGATTTAGACTGGCTTTTGCTTGGTTTTGGACATTATATGGTTTTTCAGGTGTTGAGCTTGCAACTGGGGTTGAATCTATTGACTTTGGTATCACCGCAATGGCTGGTGATATGGATTGGGATGCATTTGGTGGAGTTGAAAGTGTTGAAGGAATCGAGCAAGGGTTTTTCAATGGTTTCCCACATTGCTTGAAAATGATTCATTTTTTTATTATCCAAAGCTTGAGATTCTTCCATTGATCTTCTTACTGGTCTTGGTTGTACAAAATTTATTGGTTGCTTATTTTCCAGATGCATGTATTCTTCGTTCATGTGTAAATGACATTCCGTTGATTGTCATATATCTATATCGGATATGACTGCAGTTAAAGGAAGATTTATTTTTTATTTGTCTTTCTTAGATACTCATCAAGTTTTTCTCCTCTATTTTTGGTGTTTGGAGACATCGAAGTGTTTTGTCTTCTTATGCCATTGTATCAACTATTCACACTCTTAAAAGTATTTATCCACTATGTATATAGCAAGATGTTATTGATATTATTTTATTTTGCTAGTGAATATATCATAGTCATACTTTAAAAAAAAGAAAAAAAATTGAGATTCTGATATTGCACCGATTGAGCTGATGTTTTAAAATATTATTTATATAAACAACATAATTATAAATATTAATATTTAAAAAATCAATTTTTCTCAATCACCTAAAAGGAAGGGTGTGAATTTTTAAGGGTCAAGTTAAAAAAATGATTAAATGATCTTAAGATATTTTTATAACTTTAAAATTAAATTATAAATTTCCACACATACGTACACGCACACGTACACGCACACGCACACATGTGTGTGTATATATATATAATATATATAACTTTTGATTGGATTAGATTGGTTGTGAGTTGAATTAAATTTTTTTGATATCAAATTATTAATTTTATATTTAGATTATTTGAATTTATCGGTCAATTTTTTTGAAGGTTATCATTATATTGATTTTAAATAAACATGTTAGTAGAAGGAAAAAGTAGAGTGACCAAAGAACCCAAGGAATCTTAATGAAAATGGTACTCATTTGCATACTATAATTCACATTTTAGGGGTTATTTTATTTGTTCGATTAAATAAGACGTTGCTTTGATTTGATATGAAGTGAATTGCGTTTAATTAATTGGTTTTCACTTAACATGAAACACGCATATATAGATAATATTATCTTTGTAAGGAAAGTGTGTTGAGATGAGGCTTTCGTTGCGCACCATTCATTCAAGATAAAAAAGCCAGAAACAGCCACCACCTTCTCTTTATTTCATCCCTCCCTCTTACAGATTTTGCACCCAAAGATCGATAGCCATTGAAATGGCACTCAGAATGTGGGCTTCTTCCACTGCCAATGCACTCCGAATCTCCTGTGCCTCCAAACCTCACCTTTCCCTTGCATTTTCCTTCTCCAGATGCTTTTCCACTGGTACAGAATCTGTATTTTTTTGGTCTTTTGGTCACTATTTTAATGTGATTAATATGTTGAAATTTGCAGTTTTGGATGGGTTGAAATATTCCAGTTCACATGAATGGGTGAAGCATGATGGTTCTGTGGCTACCATTGGCATCACTGACCATGCTCAGGTTTCTCCCTTCTTCCCTTAACTTCTCATGCTCAGTATTAAATACGATATGTACCGTTGGCGAAATTTAACGTGGTTTTCAGTCTTGTTCATCTAAGGAACTAGATTCTTACATTCTCGTTTATGCTCTAAAGGACCATCTTGGAGAAGTAGTGTTTGTGGAGCTGCCCGAGCCTGGTGGTTCAGCGACCCAAGGAAAAGGGTTCGGCGCCGTGGAAAGTGTTAAGGCAACCAGTGATGTCAATTCCCCGATCTCCGGCGAAATCGTCGAGGTTAACTCCAAGCTCTCTGAAGCTCCTGGCTTGGTACGTATAAAATTCCCTCATTCACTAGTACAGTTAAAAGATTCCGACCTAAGTGGTAAAAAAAGAATATTATTCTTCTTATAGGTCTTGAATGTCTATAAAATGTGCGAATTGAACGACTAAGAAAGATTTTAAAGCTATACTATTTTATAAATTTATAATCGCAGATTATTAATAAAAAACCTTCCCTTGATAGCTTATATACTCGATTTAACATGGTGTTGTTGAAGATCAATTCGAGCTCCTATGAAGAAGGATGGATGATCAAGGTGAAGCCCAGCAGTCCATCAGAACTAGAATCATTGATGGGATCAAAGGAATACGCCAAATTCTGCGAGGAAGAAGACGCTTCCCACTGAAAATCCCTTTGTACCATGTTTTCAGATCGTGTCAACAGATATGATTCTACAACTTTTATGTTTATTGAGCATAACATGTTCCCTTTCTAGTAATAAAATCTTTATTCCACTTTAATAGTACAATGTTTTCAGCTTTGGGTTTGTAGTTCTGCATACGAGTAATAACTTCTTAGATGCAATTTCCTGGTGAAAACATGTAAACAATCATATTAAGAGAGTTTTAACAGGGTCTAATTACGGATTTAATCTCTACATTATGCTGAAATTTGAGATTTAACCCCTCTCTTTTAATTTGATATAATTTGATTCTACTTTTATAATGTTATAATTAGTAGGCCTAAATTGAAAATATTGTTGATTACTATTGTTAAATTAATGATGCAGATTTTTTTTTTCAACAAGAAATATTTGACTGATATATACATTTATTATTGTTTGAATAAGATTGACTATATAAATATTTTTTTGGAACAGAAGTATTATCTAAACAATACCTCTTAATCATATTAGTACTTCCCTCAACCAGTTATCAAACAATGATGGTTATTATCACTCACGTATCTAGAAAAAATTAATGGATTGGATCAATATAAATATAATAAAAAACCATTTAACATAATTCAGATATATTTTAAATTTAAAATATAATAACAATTATATATATATTTGGATTAAATCTAGAAAAAATATATTAATTGGAGCAATATAAATTTCTTAACATAATTCATACATATTTTATTTAGGGTAAACTACCTATTTAATCATTCACATATTACTTAATTTATGTTTTGGTCATTTAACTATTTTTTTTTTAAATTCATACCTAACATTATGTTTTGGTTCTGTTTTGGTCACTTGTTGTTAAAAAATTAACAGTGATGCTAACATGGCATTTTTTTAAATTATTTTTCAATCTTGATGTGGTATAATCTTATGGTGATACATCAACATCGCCGTTAATTTTTTTAAAGACGTGTGACCAAAATAGATTCAAAGAGTAAAATTAGGTATGATTTAAAGTAAGTAATAGTTGGATGATCAAAACAAAAACTAAATAATAAGTGGGTGACTATATAAGTAATTTACCTTTTTTGACTAAATAATAAGTAAAAATGCTTATGTAACGAGTGTCTCATATGGTAATTTCGAGTTGGGTGAAATTTTAATGCAAGTAGCTTATTAGACAATTTGAAAAAATAATATATATGTATCTCTTTTGACTAAAAGAATTATAAAATAAATGTGTATTATTGAGCTTGTAAAATTCAGCATTGAAATCTATGTTTCTTTATAAGTTAGTAGGTTTCGACTTTGGGTGAGGGCGTTGACATCAGTTTTGGAGTTTAAGTGATTAGCTTTATGTGTCTGTTTCAAATCTCTATAATAAAAATCTCTATAATAAAATTGTTTTGCCGATAAATTTTTTTTTAACTTTATAGAGAATTTTGTACAATTGTTGCATGCAAGTGAAAGTGCATAAACTCTATCAAATTAATAAAGATATATCTTTCATTGTATAATCACAACACAACATGGAGAAAATATGTTTTACTTTAATTTACATTTGCATGGAAAGAATCAGTAAGTTACACAAAACATCAACTCCCATTACAATGTGAGTTTTAGTCCTCAATAATCCAAATGGGTCCCAAGCTAGACTGGAGGCACTTGAGCATCAGGAGTCAGTTCAGACCTATATTTTTCTGGTCCATCGGTGTAAGTACCTACTATTTGAGATTGAGATGCATGATGATCAGTATTCACATAAGTATCCGGTACGGTATAAGATATAGCGATAAGTAACTCGCGAGCTAGCTCCTGAGAAATCACGTTGGAAGTGCTTCTCTATCCATATGATATCAGTTTTCTCCTGCAACACAGAAAAGCAAATTGCAGCATAGCCGAAGAATCATCCATCACTAGTTCATCACCATTATAATACGAGTAAGGACTCAAGAAAGCATAAGCAAACAACATTCTATGTGATGCTTGATTGGTTCCTACCGACGGGTTAACCGGCAACGTCCCTTTTTTTTTGTTGAGTTATATCTCCAGAAACTACCAACTCTCTGCTAGCCAAAAGACTTAGATAGACTTTTCCGTCCACCGGAGTTGCTAAAGGATCCCTAACCTCCGGTAACGACAGGCTATAGCACCATTAATCTAGAATATGATTTATTACTTCGACAAAATAAAAAATCTATATTATTTTCTTACTAAACAATGAACACAAGATTCATGTGAATTACCTTTTACCAGAAGAAGAAGTTGTTTTCATACTAGAATATACAATCTTTTCTTACTTATAAGACCTAGTCTCTTATATAATAGCGCAACATTGGTCTCTCCCTTGTATAACTTTTCATGAGTAACATACAATAAATTTTACATGCTTCTTAATGATCAAGTTATTTCTAGCAAGTTTCCATTTTCATCTATCAAAATGATTTATATAACCACTATTACCTAGCTTTCCAGCTGAAATAAGATTAAAACGCATATATGGCACATGTATAACATCGCAAAGGTGGGCCATTTCGCAAAGGTAGGTATGCAGCGACATTCTCTTCTCAAGCTTGATGGTAGGTTTTTCTGTTGACTGATCTCTTGAGTGGCATGTGGGTTAATGTTTAAGCTGTTTTGGTAGTTCAGAAGCAGGTTCTTTTAGGGGAGTGGGATTGAAGAAGGGTTTGTGGAATGTTATTGTGAGTTTCCATGCTTGTGAAAATGGCTAAGGGTGTTATTTGAAAGGGAGTTAAGAAGTTTTGGGATGTGCTTCAGCGAAATCATGGAGGTGATGGATCTTTTTGATGAATTCGTCCGAATGGCAAATACATAAGGAGAGGGTCAGTTTAGTGGTTTCGCCTTGGAAGGTAATATTAAGGCAGATGATCTCGTAAAGGGTGGTTTAACAGATACTTATTTCAAAGCTTGTGGTCAAGCCAAATCTTAGGGTAGTGCGGTCCTTGGAGGGTGTAAGGCTTTTGCTTTCTGGTTTGGAAATGTGTGGTTAATCTGTCAAGCATGCTGTTATCTTAGTGCTGATTCATCTTTGTTTTTTATTTTTTTGTTTTTTTTCCCTGTTTTGTGGTGTACTCTTTTCTTCCGTAAAGAGGTTTTTAATGAGGGCTACAATTCAGAGTTAAGCGCTTCTCGATCAATGAAGTTATTTTTGCTGAGAAAAAAATATTAGTTTTCATGATGATTTTGCTAATACCTACAATCTTGCTTCTTACTTAATTCCACATCTTCACCGTATCGAAATCACTACTTTGGTAAGCAAAGAAAAATTCTTCATGTGAGATTGCATGAAATCAAGCTCATAATTCAAAAATTTGTGGGTAACCATCAAAGACAATATTGAGATAATTTTCTTCCTCAAATAGAAAGATTACATCTTCATCTTCCTTCGCAACTACAATGGTTATGCTTTCCTCCTTTTTCTTAGGATCAATTTGGTCAAACTTAATTATCCTATTTTTGTCACTTTTGAGATTTTGGAACTGATTTTTTATAATTGTACTTTTTATAATAGTAACATATAATTTTAGTGAGATTTATATCTATATTTCCCATGAGACTTATCATAGCATCAACTCTTAAATTTTTGCAGTCCTCACTCCTTTTGTGATTCTCGATCGCATTTATTTCTGATAGACTACGTAAACCTCATTCCTTATATATTATATATTAATGTTGTTGGTAATGATCAATCTCACATAAAATTAGAAACACTATTGATGATGGGTATTTAGGGTTTGTATTCTCCACTCCCTTATTGAGTGATAAAAATAAGGGAATTCTCGCACACCGTCGCCATCATTCGACTCGACTCATGGTAATATATGTCGTTGACGCGGACTTTTAGAAAAAAATTCATGTGGAATTTCTATCTAAAAAGGCCGATGATAATAGTTGATTTAATATCACGAGTTACATGATTTACATGATTTAATTACATGAGTTACATGATTTAAAAAATGAACTTAGACTATTTTTGAGTCAGATTATCAGGACGTTTCAACAGTTATAATAGGGTTTAATTCCAGAATTAAAATCACATATTAATCTTATTTTTTGTTGGACGATTATACCTCTATTTCTAGCCTATAAATAAAGAGCTAAATTTAGCTTCTTAACATACTCCACATCTCACTATTCACTCTCTTAGTGTTTCTAAAGATGTTCTCTCTATACTTTCCGGTCAAAAGTACAATACCACCAACAGTCCACTCCGATTTCGGGTGTACGAAAGACAGTGATTTTTACCACGACATGATTTACGATTTTAACTTTCGAATTATTATTGATTTTTCCGGTCAGTGCTAACGGTATAGTTTTGCAATCTATATTTTCAACAATTTCTTCATTCATTAAACCTCATTGCTCATCTTATTCCTTTAGACATGGTCTCAATTATAATTGATTCGTATAGATCTTTATCATAAAAAAGATCTTTCATCATTGACTCTCGATATGAAAAATTATCGACAGTGAGTTTAAATATGTCACCATCATAAATAACGCTCCTTTCTATTTTGATTTCGTAAAATAATTTATGGAGATTATAACCAAGTTTTGATATTGTTGTTGGGTAAAACAGGAATATTGTAGAATGCCATTTCCCTCTTTTTGAAAGTAAAATTTTTAATAATAAGAATAAACGAAAAAATAAAAATAAGAAGAAATAAAATAATAGTGATACGGAAAACTCAAATTGAGAAGATTACGAGACTCTGGTCCGGTACAAAATTACCTTCTACTATTGAGTATGATTAAAATTATTATCTCATTCAATAGAATGATTTACAAATTCTCACAACTGTAGTGACTATCTCTAATTTTCTTTCACTCAAAAGAATATCCTTGTGAATATGCTTCATAATTCATGATTTCGATTTTTTTTCTCTATCTCTCTCTTGTCGTTCAAATACATTCTTAGAGTTACATTTTTATTCTAAAATAATGGATATACAAAAGGACATTATACATAACATCTAATCAAATCCATATTAACTGGGTGTACCTAAAAACTAATTAATGTCAAATATGAGAGTACATCTGTTAAACATTGGGAAGTAAAATCAGGTAATTGTTCAGGTTTTAGTCGGATTCTATCAAGTTAGGTAAA